TTTGAATTAACATGTTTTTTTTTCAAACAAATATTTTTCTTTATACTCCGAAGTATAGAGACCGTTTATCGGGGTATAATTGGGGTGGGTTTCGCGCCAAATATGTTTGCGCCGAAATTTCCAACGCCATTTCCTGGTCGAATCGGCGTCGTAAAGAAACGAGGTCGTAGACTCTCTCCCTCTCTCTCCCCTCTGGTGACGGATTTAATTCAATCGATCCGAGAGATGAGCAAATTGTGCAAGCTCGATCGATCTTTGACCGACTCGCTGGCGCCAAAGCCGAAGTCAGAGCCAAGACGAGTCGACGTCGACGTCGACGTCGACATCGCAGGGTCAAGTTCGCTTGGAAACGCTTCCCGATTCGCAGTCGCTCTATCTTTGCCTCTATCCTTCGAGCATCGATCTGCTTTATTAATTGATAAAACTTTTTATAAATGAAAGTTTAATAAAATAAGTTTAACTCTTTCCGACAGGAAGCGAAACGATTACCAAGATCTCTCCGAACGAACCTCCACCGTTTTCATTTCCTAACCTTACTTTTAATCCCACGAACATCGATCTTATTCAAATTTCTAAAATGAAGGGTGGAGAACGATTTGATGATTTTACTGGGCAAAAGTTGAGCTCTTTTCTCCAGAGATGTATAAAGAGACGACGAAGGAAAATCTCGTCCACCTCGACCTGTCTGAACCAACATCGGCAGTTCTCCCATATTTATCTTGGCTTTTATCTCCCTGCGTCGCTTTTATTGACAGTTTATTAGTCGGAAGTCGAACGCTTCGCTCTACGTCGAGGCGACGAAGGGAAACCAGCGGCGACTCGGTCGTTTCTCGCGTCTTTTGTTTTGCCCTCTTGTCTTGTCTTTTTCTCTTTTTATGCTGATTTCTCTCTCGTCGCACCTACCGAGGCCGTTCTCCTTGCTCTTTTTCCGCGCGTCATGTCGAACTTTCTCCTCTCTTCGTATTTTTGCATTTTTACCTTGCACCTCGGTCGTTCGTGCCCCGCGACTTGGCTTCCGTCATCGCTCGCGCGGGCCGGAAAAAATAACCTAACCTCAAACGGAAACTCAAAAAGTAATCCCAACTCGCCGTTGTTTCCGCCTGTTTATCCGCCATAAGACGCGTGCCATGATTTATATTTTTACGCCTTGGAAGGGAAATTTTGTTACAAGGTCTTCTAAAATTCAGAAACGTTTCATTAGAGGGAAAATAAGCATTTATTGAATTATGTTGCCGGATATGACCACGTGGGGCGACATATCGTTTGTATACAAATTCATCAAATAATGTCTTCGACTTTACCTTCTGTGGAAAAATTGTCGCATTAATGATTTATATGTTGTAAATGATGGCATTAAAAATTACCGCATTAATAATTTCTGTGTTGTAAATGATGGCATTAAAAATTACCGCATTAATAATTTCTGTGTTGAAAATGATGGCATTAAAAATTACCGTATTCAAAATTGCCGCATTAATAACGTCCACGTTAAAAATATCCGGATTAAAAGTTTCCGAATGAAAGATTGGCGTTAAAAATTGTCGACGAGTGCAGCTGATCGACCCTATCCGTTCTCTTGGGGAACGAGTCCTCCTTCTCCGAGGGGTTCCCCCGGGATCGGCAAAAGGGCGCATCGCGCTTCCCGACTACGCGAGCACGCGACGGACGCGTTACTCTCCGAGGATATCGGAACAGGAAATTGTTTTTCCCCTCGCAACGTCGGCTCTCGGGGCTCCCGAGATTCCCGAGGGAGTCGTCGACCTTCTGCCCCCGCGACTCGTGCCTTCTGCCTCTCGTAAAAAAGTAATCCGCGCCAGTCGCGCCCGGGCGCCCTCCTCGAGAACAATTTCGTATACGCACTCGCGGAATTTTCTCCCCTTTTCCCGGAAACTCGGGCATAAACGGTCCTCTTCCTTCGGTCGATGTACCGTCCATCGTCCGCCATCTTGGATTTTCTCGCGACGCCACGCCGAGGGGAAAAATTCATCGAACCTAAGAAATGCCACCGAAGAAATATTTCCTTAATTCAACGAATTATATTACTCGACTCGAATAAACTCGAATATATTAGCTACGATATTTCTTCCGAATTATGACAATTTATTTCACTTAATATGGGAATTTTTATTCTTTGAATTAATAAAATAGTTCTTCGGTTCAATGGACTTTTTATTTAACCTCCCTTATATAAACCTTTATATTGAGATATATTATCTGGATGTAGTTCTTCTTGAATTGGCTCGAAACGTAAACGTAAGGGGGTCATCGATCGATTTTCGAAATCGACCGATTCCGGAGCGCGTGTCCGACGCGTCGCGAGTACTCAGTGGCAAAAAACGATCGGGGCCAAGTACGCGTTCGTCCTCGCCACACCTGTCGCGATCGATCTTTCTCATGCGAGACAACGGTCACGTTCCCTCCAGGAGCGTTTCTCTCGGTTTTCCGGACGTTTTCCCATCGCGAGTTCTGAAAAACGCGATCCTTGTCGGCCGGTTCCAGCGGAAACCTAATGGGATTTCGGAAAGAAATTTCGCATTCCCCTGGCGAATGGACGAATACATGGCACAAATGCGGGGAAGTTACCCCCAGAAAAAAAAGACATTTATTACACCAAAGGAATATGTTCTTAATTCAATGAATAATTATTTCCCTGAAATAAAGACGATTAAATAGGACGCAACGTTTCTTCGAAATTATGACAATTTATTCAAGTTAATTTGAGTGAAATAATTATTCTTGGAATTAATGAAATATTTGTTTGGTTCAATGAATATTTTTTTTCTATGGGCACGAATGCCTTTTACGAGGATATAATGTCGGAGTATGGTTTGGAGACATTTCAGTCGACCAATTTACACGGTTTATCTCCAAGTATCGCTCATTACGGACAAGTAACGACGATTCCTCGGTTAACCCATAATTAGTTCTTAATCGAGGTCTCGGAGGCTCCTTTGTGTCGCTAAAGGAAGGGAGGAACGATCCGCACCCGGAAACCGACAATGGGGAATGTCGGGCCAACAAATTTACATTGTTTTACCAAATATCCTAAACGTGGTTACTTAGTTCCTTCGGGATGTTTTTTTATTTCTTTTGGGCGCATTTTCTGGATTAGAGGAAGATCGAGAGCGTGCTCGAAATTCCTTTTCAGGAATCAAATGTCGGGCCAACAAATTGACATTGTTTTACCAAATATCCTAAACGTGGTCACTTAGTTCCTCCGGGACGTTTCTTTTTATTTCTTTTGGGCGCATTTTCTGGATTAGAGGAAGATCGAGAGCGTGCTCGAAATTCCTTTTCAGGAATCGACCGCGGTTTTTGGCTCTTCCGATAGGTCGGTTCGAGAATCGTGTCCGGGTCCTTGCAAAAGGACAAAGCGAAAGACTACTCGCTTCCCGATTTGAGTTTCGGTTCCTGATTCGCCAAGGAACAAGGAAGAGTCGGGCGGAAAAGAGCAAAGAGAGGTCCACCTTGCAGCTTAGTCCCCTCTTTCTCTCTCTCCCTGTCGTCCTCCCTTTCTCTTCGCGGAGGTCGTTTAACTCGATGCACTCGGATCTGATGCAAGTTTCGACTTTGGTTTCGCTCCTTGAGCGCCACTCTTCTCTTTCTGGCCAAGTCGAGGTCGCATCGCCGATCGATGCAACCTCCTTGTATTCCTTTTTATTTCCTCGAAGGTCCACCAACGAATCGTTTAGCGGAGAGGAAGAGAGCTCCTTTTCTCGATGCATTCGAAGCTGACGCAATTCTTGGCTTTACAATTAATTTCGCTCTTTCGGTCCTCCTCCATTTCCTCATCTTTGGCGTCGACTGTTGGGGTTGATATCCTGAGAAAAAAGAAATTCTTATCAAACCAAAGAAATGTTTTGTTAATTCGAGGAATAATCATTTCACTCGAATTAATTGGAAGCAACGTTTATTCGGCACTGTGAGAATTTATTAGAGGTTATTTGAGGTAATTATTTTTTAATTATCAAAATCTTTCCTTGGTCCGATGATCCTTTTTCTCGGGGTAGCTGTCTTTACCTCGTTATTTGAAAATCGGGCGACCCGAAGAAAAGGATAACTCGCGGTCCCGGGGGCATCGGCAACCACGACTCCCCGCAATCGATACAGCCTCCTCTTGGTCGACCTCTGAACGCCAGGCACTCGACCGAATCGTTTAATGGAGGCTATCGATTACCTTATCTACCTGGGTCTCGACTTCGATGTCGCTACCGGAGTGCCGCTCTTCTCCCCGAGTCGTCCGCGACGGAAGAGGTCTCCTCGAGTCCAGCCGTTTCTCCTTCGGGAGCCTCTTCATCGGATCCTTCAACGAAGACTCGATCTCCGGGGCAAAGCCTCGGTCTTAAAGTACGGCTTCATTAATTGTATTTCAGTCTTGTTATCGAAGTTCGAGGGGATAAAAAAGGTTTCTCCTATTTTTAACTCTCGATTTAATTAATTTTCATTACTTTATTTCAAGAAGACCCTCGTTACCTGCGTAACGATCTCAGGGTATACAAAATATGAGTAATTAAGGTGTCATGAAAGTTTCATATGTATGTAAAAATCAGAATATTTATAAAAGTTTTCTCCGAAGTAGGCGTGTCGAATAATTTGAAACTTTAACACGTGAGAGGAAGTCCTAACGAAGGTCATGAAACCTACGAAATTTAATTTTTGTAAAAAAGACTTTTGGGTCAGTGGGGTAAATAAAACAATTTTATTTTCTATATATAATGACCTTTTCAGATCGTCGTAATATTAATATTACGAAGTTTCGAGGGTGACATCGATGATCCGCCACGCGACCGCCACGTGGGTTTGCCGATGTCGGGCAACTAGCGGTGCCGGTTTTGGGACGGCACCCCCTTGGTCGTGCACGGTTCCGTTCGGGTCCCTTCGACTTTCTTCGGGGGCGCTCGGCTCCACTCGGAGCGCCAGGGGAGTGGAGGGGGCGCGTAACCGCGGCGCGCCGGGGCGGGCCGGTGCCGCCAGCTGCGGCGCCTCAGATCGCGGCGAACCGCGTGCGCGGCAGGAAGGTTGCAGCTCGAGCTCTTCCCCGCCGGTCCGCGACATTTCGGCGAACCTTGTCGGACCCTTCGGACTACCGCGGATTCCTCGTCGAGCCCGGATCCGCCGGACCCCGAGACTCTCCTGGGAACCCCGTAACCAGAAGACGGCGGACCGGTTGGAGCACCTCGGACATCCGCTCGGAGATAAGTCGACCCGGTCGACGAGGGCCAGCATGTCCTTCTTCAGGGGACTGTGGAAGAGCAGTTCTAAGCACAAGAGTGAGTTTACATCTGGTTCATATTTTGTTGCAGAACCCATGACGTCCTCTGAAACCGCTGGAACCGGCGACGTCGGCGGTACCGTTAATGTGTTATGACAGGGTCATCCTATATATATAAAACGTCAAAATGATGATAAAACTTTTCTTCAAAGTGGATGCACCAAACCTTTTGAAACTTTAACGCGTGCCCTCTTTAAGGAGGTCGTGAGGAAGAACTCATGAAATTTCTTTTTTGATAAAAAATTTTCTATTTATCCCAACCTAGAACCTAGAATACGAATTTCTTTCTTTTTAATGATGTTTCTCGAGTAACACGTTATTCCTTAGAGCCTTCGTAATCACGTGCCGAAGTTTCAAATGATTCGGTGCACCCAGTTTGGAGAAAAGATTTATAAATATTTTGATGTTTTGTGTATATAGAATCACCCTTTGTCCTTTGCGATTTCAGAGAGCATGTTTTCGCGGTTGAATTAAAAATTAGGATGCGATAAAACGAATGATTTTCGTCAATTTGGAGCACTTTTTGGTGACGTCACCTATTAGTGATCTTTTTCTAAAAATTGAAACTGACGACTAGGTTGGCTATACTTGTCACGTTACTATCCGATTGCGTAGGAAATTATTTTTACGGTGTTCTAACCTACAAATAAGAGTAAACTATTGAATGGTTTAGTCATTGGGACCACTAAGATCCTCTCGCGACAGTTTAGGGCACGTAGGAATATCGCGGTCTCCCTTACCACGCGTTATTTACTCTCTCATTGTTCTCTACGGTATCACTCACCATTGTTTCCTGTACTTCCGCGAGATGTGACGAATCTCATTCCGGAATACAAAGTCAACGAAGACGCAAGGTGCGCTAAGGTGTTTTCTCCTGTCCCGATCCCAACACCTGCAGGTCTATTCCTTCACCTGTCGCGATAAGCGTCGAAGACGAAGGGATAAGTTTTTCCATATCGATGCAGGTAATTAATTGCTAATTAAGATCCTCGATAACGAGACGGTCTCCTTTGGTCTTCACATGGGAAAAAAAAGGCATTTACACTTTTAACATGGGACAGCATTGCCGATAAAGCTACGTTTAATATTGTACTTTTCCGATGTTCTCCCACGCCGTGCGGTAGGACTGTTTAAAAAAAGTCGTGATTTTAAAAGATAAAGATCAGCCGATTAAAATCGATGATTTTAATTAAGCCATTTTAATCGGCTCGACCTTGCGAGGAGAGCGGGGTTTGGTCGTGCCGCCTCGCAAATCGCCTTTGCGGATGTCGGACATTCGTGTCACTAGATGTAATTAACGCCCAACGACGGCGACTTATTCCGCCGAGTGGCAAACCGTATCGGTAATTACGGGTCGCGGAGCAAAGGCGAATTGCCGGAATGGCATTAAGCTCCGATCGATAGCACGGACCGCGTGCGGCGGCGATAACGCCGAAGGAAAGGGGCAGATGAGAATTTTGCATCCGACGTTCCGCGGCCCATGTTTCAATTGTTATTCATAAAGTCGGAGATTTCGTAACCATTGGGCGATTGGCCGAACTCGGTCCTGTAATCCAACGTTTCTTCTGGATGAGGACGTCCGGTAATTCGAAGGAACGTATGCCCTCGAATTCTCGAAATCTCTTTTCGGCATCCTCTTCGTCTGCTGTTCGTTGTGCGGAAATCTAATATGGAAAGAAACGTGGAAATTCTTCCTTTTACCTTGCCCGATTAAGGGGAAGGATCTACGAGAAATGGGAGCTTTGGTCGAATTTTGGTGAATCTTTGTTGCTTGCCGAGATTCATCCTATTATGATTTTGTGTGGCTCGTGGCTACGACCATTAAACCTTTGATACTCGGTAATGAGGGAAATCCTGAAATTCCCCTCCGGGATCTTGATTCCATTGCGGTCGAATCGGTCCCCAAAGATCTGCCGAAATCTGCACTCCGGTATAAACTCGATCATTAACTTGAAATCCAGGTTTTTCCTGCTTTCCCGCTCGATAAATGCGTATCTTTAAGTAATACTTTGGGTTTTTATCGTCTCGAGGTATCCGTTCCACCTTGGAACCAGATTGTTAATCGAGACAGTCTCTCCACGGGCAAAACCTCTAATTACTAAACTGAGAATATAAAATTTCTCGGCGGGTTAGAAAAAAGATGAAAAAGGATGGAAAAATATTTTCTCGCCGGGCACTTCTGAGGAGGTTTAATTGCAAGGTACATTTGACTCTACGGTAATTTACGTCGGAGTCCTTTGCCCCTCTGCCCTAATTATGCAAATTACCTGAATGGCTGGCAACTTTACAGGGAGGAGGAAGGCGCTTCGTCCATCGGCGAGATAGTTAACGCCCTTCGATTATTCGCAATAACCGCAGGGATAAAAATCGCCTCCGAGATTATGGTAATACATGCAGGGTCGCATTGCCTAGGAAATATAACCTCCTTCGTAGAACATTGATTATCGATCGTAAAATCTGCATAATAATTTCATGTATTACCCTACGGGAAGCCGGTGAATATTCCCTCTCACATTTGGAGCGACAAGTATACAAGACGTTCCGAAACCGAAGATTTTCCTTTCGAGCTCGAAAGGGGATGGAATTTGGGATCGACAGTTCCTCTTCCACTTTTCAACCGGACCATTGGTTAAAGACTTATCAATGAATAATGTCGACGAACGACGCAGGGCGCAGATCTACTGCGCAGGGCCAGAGCGCGCCCCTTCATTGGTCTCCAATTTCATCGATCAATAACTCCTTAACTACTAGCCCGATCGAAATGTGGAAAAGGAACTTTCGACGGGAAATTTCACCTTCTTTCATATATTCGAAATAAAAACCTTTAGTTTTGGTTTCCGTGCAAAATATAAAACATTTCGTAGATGTTGAAGGTAAAGCGAATACGAAAGCTCCATGGGGAAAGTACCTTTTTTCTCGATAAAAAGAAGTTAAAACGGATCACTCGTGAATGATTTCCGCTTCCGTCTTGAAACGTGATATCGCAGCTATCGACGGGGAAAAAAGGCTCGATATTCCGTTCAATATGGCGAGATCCTATTTTGCACGGTACATTCGGCGAAGGGGAAGAGCGAAAGGAGGAACGAGCCGCTCATGCATTCATTAAAATATCTCGAGGCGTTCGTAATTAAGTTCTCGACGTCAAAGAAGTTCCCCAAGAATCGGGGTCCCGCGTCGAAGCGTATTACGGGGTTTGCGTGCAATTTCGAAAATGCAATATCCACTTCGAGCCGGCTCTCGAAATTGGAGCTGCGCGAACAATGGCGGAGTGCTTTTTAATGCTAATCGCGTTACACCTGCGACAGTCCCGCGAGCACTCTCGCCATTTTGCGGAACGAGGACGCCGTTTAATTCGGAAAGTTTTCCCAGAAATGGAAGGCGAGATACAATTCTCCGGGATACGATTTGCAAGTCCGTGCCTAGGAAAGTTGGCTACAAAGTCCGTTACAATTCGCTTCAAAAAACGTGCCGCTCACGATGTCGTCGATTTGATTTTATCCGGTTTTTTTGCTCGATGGAAATCCGCCGATTCGCCATTCTGGATTTTTTTTTTTTAATGCTCGGCCTTAATGCGATTCTAGTAAATCGGTGGATAAAGAGGGATAATTATTGCTAAGACCGAAATGCCGGTCGGAACCAGCTGGCAAAATCGTTTCTCAGATTTAGTCGGGTCGTCTCGATTAGTACTTCCCCGAGATATTTCGAATTATTCGACCTTGATGCGTCTCCTATACGGCGTCGATGATAAATACTTTCAACGTGGCGTGGAAAGCGAAACGGAAAGGAAAAGTCGATCGTAACCGGCAGAGAAATCGTTTCCGATTAATCGTTACGACTTCCTGGAGTGTCGGAACAGTCGACGTTTATGGAGGTGCGAACGGTTGTGGGGTCATTCTTTTTTCTTTTTTTTAACCCGAGTAAGTTGTTACGTGACAAAGAGATTTAAAGGAGGGCAGATTTACTTTCTTTCTGATTATAGAATTATTTATTATATGGAGATGTCCGAGCAATCCTGGAATTAATTTTTTTCCGCTCGGCAAATAAATGTTGGATAAACAGATCTTCTGTCCGGAGAGGTTAGGATAGAACGGCAAAGCTGTTTTGTTGGTTACCTCGATCGAGAGGCGATTTAAAGGAGAATGGTTGGGTTTGAAAGATCGAAAGGATGTAAATTCGAGAGACATCGGGATTTGCGTTCGAGTTCCCCGGAAATCACTCCGGGAGCCATTTCCAATTCCGGGAGCGCTATTCAACGGGGAAGCGATTGTCAAAGTCCGAGTCGCGATTATCGAAGTCGAAGCTGCAATTGTCAAAGTTGGATCCTCAACGAGTGGTTCGAGAGGTCGAAAAGTCCCCACGGTTCGGACAGGGTTCGAATTTCGAGCGAGCTTGCGGATTCGCTGAGGAATTTCTGCATTGTTCCGGACACCGAAATGCACTAACAATGAAGGTCGGATATATGGACTCCCCTGATCGAACCATGAAAGCGATAGAATCGAAGGAGAAAACGAACGGGTTGTTTTCTTTCCTAGAAAGGTTTTATAAATATTTTGACGTTTTTATATATATATAAAATGACTCTTTTGTAACACCTTAACTCGAGCGAGCTTGCGGATTCGCCGAGGAATGTCTGCATTGTTCCGGACACCGAAATGCACTAACAATGAACGTCGGATATATGGACTCCCCTGATCGAACCATGAAAGCGATAGAATCGAAGGAGAAAACGAACGGGTTGTTTTCTTTCCTAGAAAGGTTTTATAAATATTTTGACGTTTTTATATATATATAAAATGACCCTTTTGTAACACCTTAACTCGAGCGAGCTTGCGGATTCGCCGAGGAATTCTGCATTGTTCCGGACACCGAAATGCACTAACAATGAACGTCGAATATATGGGCTTCCCTGATCGAACCATGAAAGCGATGGAATCAAAGGAGAAAACGAAAGGGTTGTTTTCTTTCCGAGAAAGGTTTTGTAAATATTTTGACGTTTTT